GTCCCAGCAGCGGCGGAGGAGGCGGATGTGATCGATAACTTCGCAGGCGGTGCATCGGCGGCAGACGCGGTGGCGCCGGAGCCGCTCGCTCCTCGTGCAAGTGGACGTCGAGGCCATGCCCCGCGCAAGCCTCTGATACGGTCGGTACCAGCGCGCGCGCGGGCTCGCGTTCGCGTTCGCGCGAGCGGGCCGCGGCAGACGCCTGCCCTGCCGTGCTGCCGCATCGTCCGATGCCTATGCCGAAGGTCTGTCAGCCCAAGTTCCTGCCGCCTAAGTATCCTTCCAAAGCCGTGGCCATCGCTGCGTTGGCGAAGGAGCCACCGCGGCCGGCAAGGCAGAAACCTTGGGAAGCGCTCAGGGCTGCGCTGCGTCGACAGAAAAAGATGGAGACGGCCGATGGAGGTGCGAACATGGCAGATGGAGGTACGAAGAGGGAGGTGCGAACATCTGGACAGACACCTGGACACCTCAAGTGCTTGTACTATCAGCTGTGCGAGGACGAGGTCCAGTGCAGCGGCAACAAGCAGTCTCGGATTGTGCGGCACGTCTTCCCCTCTGGGAAACTCGGGGACATCTACTGTCAAGAGTGCTGGAACAATGTTACGAGTCATGAAGGTAAGACGTCGCTCAGGTGCCAGCTGCTCGGGCATCCGAAGTGCACGCATATGGTTCCAGACTCAGACTCGTTGGAGGACCAGGAACCAGATCATATTTGCATTGGCACCGAGGAGGACAAGCTCGTGCAGCGCGTGTACAAAGGGGCACTCCTCGACGTGTGCTGCGTGACGTGCTGGAATGGGTTCAAGAAGCGACCTGAATGGCATGATTTGCAGTGCACTAGCGTGGCCGATTGAATTTGGTTGTGAGTGTTTTCAGCGCGCATTTGGCGCGAGCCGGCATAGCACCAGCGTTTGATTCGTGTGGCTGGGAGTGGGCCAAAAACATATCATCGCCATCCACATCGAACATAAACAACGAGACACACCAACAACACCAAACACAATGCAAATCGCAGGCACACACAAAACCAACACAACGAACCACATCACTAAACATGCAACCTATCACACAACAACGCACAGTACGCACCACACACACAGAGCAAACCAACAAACATCCAGCGGCATTCAACAACCACGCATTCAAACCAACAACACAATAACAACACAAACAACACACAAATAACTAACACTCATGCCGGTAATGCCTAACACTCATGCAGAAGCGCGCGTGTGTTGATGTTGTGCTGCAAGCTTGTATGTTCTGTGTTTTGTTCGTTGCCATTTTTTGTTGTGTGTGTGTGTGTGTGTGTGTCCGCGTGCGCGCGCTGGAACATCGAAATCTTCGGCGAGACGGCGATTTTTTAGTAAATTGCGAGGACGTCTTCGGCGAAAGCGCGAACCTTGAACGTCGAGCGCGCGGTGTCTCAATACACTGCGATGAAGTAAGTCCCAAGGAAGGGCGCGAACCCTACGTAAATTGCAAAGAAGTCTCAAGCAGGCGGGGGGCGGTGTTGTTTTAGTCATGGTGCGTCTGCCGACAATGATGATGTAGACGGCGTTTGGGATGATGTAGACGACAACAATGGGAATGATCTTCTCTTACATAGTCATATATGATGCCCACGGTGGTTTGGATAATCATGGATGGTGATGATGGCGATGATGGGGACGATGGTGATGGTATGGTGGTGATGGAGGTGGTGATGGTGATGGTGACGATCTGATCATGGTGATGGTGGCGATGACGATGAATATCAATGATGAAGGTGATGATGATGCAATGTTGATGATGGTGGGTATGGGATACATGTGATACTTTTTAATGGAGACGATGATGACGATGCTGACGGTGACGATGATGATGATGGTGATGATGATGACGGTGATGATGATGGTGATGATGCGGCGGTGCTGATGGTGGCGACCACCGCCAAGGGTCGGGCGACATACCCCCCCTGCTATGGCCAGCCAAGTCGGCCTTCGTGGACCTTTCGGGGCCCCGAAGCTGGCGCAACGCGACGCGGGGGCCAGGAAAGACGCCTCTTGGGCCCCCCTGCTCGTTAGATTGTCTTCCCTCCCCGTCAACCTCCTCCTCATCCTTGTCGTCCCCCCCCTCCTCCCTCCCCCCTTCCCTTCCTCCTCGTTTTCGTCCTCGGTTCTCTTCCTCCTCCTCCGTCATCTTGCCTCCTCCCGCCCCCTTCTCCTCCTGTTCGTCCTCTTCCTCTTCCTCCCCCTCCTCGCCCCCTTCCTTTTCCGACAAGCATGGCATGGTCAGCGTTTGTGCGACGGCGCTGTGCAATCCGAGCCGCAAGTGTTGAAATTATTCGGACGAGGTGTTGGCGAAACCGCCTTGGACGGGAGATTTGGGCACGGGATTGTCGGGCTCCTAGCGCAGAAGAGAAGTCCCCCCGTCATGGGGACAGTGATCATGATGGGGCCATGGGGACAGAATCATTAAACGGTGGGGTAGACTGGCAGTTGTTGTTGTCGTCGTTGTTGTTACTGTTGTTGTTAATGTTGTTGTTGCTGCTGCTGCTGCTGCTGCTTGTGTTGTTGAGTTGTTTTAATGTTCGCTCATTCCGCCGGCCCTCGAGCGCTCTATGGGGCCTCTTTGAAGCCTCTTGGGGGCCTCTTTGGGGCCTCCTAGGGGCTTCCTAGGGGCCTCTTGGGGGCCTCTTGGGGGTCTCTTGGGGCTCCTTGGCGGCGTCTTGGGGCCCCCTTGGGCCTTTTGGGGGGCTCTTGGGGGCCTCTTGGGGCGGGGTAGTCGAGTGCACCCCCCTCGGAGGCCACGATCCTCGTGAGGGGTGTCGAACAAAGGCCCTCAAAACCATCTCTGAGTAGACCTGGTCGGGCTGCGGTCGGGATACTTTTCGCCGGGGGACCCCCAGGGGCCGCCCCGCGCGCGCGAACTAGAAATATTGTTAACAAGTTGACGGAGATGTTAGCACGCCTCTGGCCCGTTGGGCCAGCGAATTGTCAATTGGAGTGCGCCCCTCTGGGCTCGCGCCCTGTTCTTAATCCGGCGAAGCGAGGCGTCGTCATTAGACTGGGCCCCTGCCCCCCGAGGTACAACAACAACAACGGCTCCCGGCTGATACCTCCTCACTGTTGTCCAACATCGCGTTCTCGCGTGGGACTTCATTCATCGCAGTTTGTTCAAGCGCAGCACCGTCTACTCTCAGGAATCACGCTCTCGCATTGGACTTCCCCACGGTTTACTTTGGAATCGCGCTATCGCTTCCGCACGCTTCAGCAACCCGCCTGCTCGACCTGGCCGTTTGGGCCCGCCTTCCCGACCCGCCCGTTCGGGTCTACCCGTTGGATGGGCCCCGTTGGTTCTGCCACGTGCTTGCTGCTCCTAGCCCCCTCCCGTGCTATTATCGTGTTCCATCCTTCTCCCTCCCCCGTCCGTCCGTCCCGTCTTCCCCTTGTTGCAGGGGCCGCACCACATACGCGCGGCAGGTAAGATCTCCCCCCAGGGGCGCACGACAGAAGACGAGGAGGGCGGATACCGAGCGTTTGGGATATACGTGGCGAAAAGCGCGCAAGCACGTCAGAGCGAAGAGTCTGAAAATGGTTGTTGGTGTTGTGTGTTGTGGTTGTCGTTGTTTTCGTTCGTGTTGTTGTGATTCAATTCTCAGTTCCCAAGAACAAATACGATCGATCCCCCTTGTGACCATTGCAGTTTCCAGTTAATGTGCTACTCTCGGGACTCTCACCCTGTTTTTGCCTTTCCAGGAAAGTCCGTGGTCACCAAATTGCGCCCATGGCCCCAGGTTTGCAACAAGAGCGCTTCCCGCCTGATATGTCCTTACAACTTACTTCGAATTCGCGCTCTCGCGCGGGACTTCCTTAACATTTCCATAATCGCGCTTTCGCATGGTTTTTCGTATCAGATGTATTGCGGCGCCGTACCCCCTAGATTGCGGAAGTACGCTCTCGCTTTGGATTTCCCCCTACGGTTTACTTTGGAATCTCGCTATCGCTCGAATCTTCCTTCATGATGGGTTGGCGCTTTAGCGGCCTGCCCGCTCGACCTGGCCGTGGGCCCGCCCCTCCGACCTGCCCGTTAGGGTCCGCCCGCCCAAGACGCTGGGTTGGTTGTATCGCCTGTGCCATTGCTCCAAACCCTGATCGTGCAAATTTCGCTCGTGTTCCATCCTTCTCCCTCCCCCTCCTCTCTTCACTCCTCCCTTCCTTCGCCTGTTTCAGGGGCTGCGCCAGCTACGCGCGGCAGGTAGGGAAGACATGACCGCAAAAGGGGGCACGATCGAAGAGGAAACAGGAGTCACGAAACGTGTGACGGGTGTGCCGAGTCGGGTGCGGGTCCGCCATGCGTGCCTTGCCGTTGGGGCCCTCAGAGAAGTTCTTTGCAGGGCCACGAAACATACATACAAGAGGCGTGCCGACATGGACATATGCAGGGCAGGGCAGAGCAGAGGCTGGAATGGAAGGGGAGAGGAGGGGAAGGAGGAAGGAGTGAGCGAAGCGGGGCGCAGGCTCTTCAAAACGAGGACCCAACTCAGGATGGTTGGACAACAACTTATCTCCAGGCAGACGGGGGAGAGGAGGACCGTTGCCAGCAGGCGCGGAGACCCGGTCCCCAATTCTGTCTGGCGGCGGTGGGCATGGTCTTCGCCGTCGTCGGCGCGGTCAGCGCCGCTACCACCACCGCCGCCGCCGCCGCCGCCGTCGTCGTCGTCATCGTCTCCGTCATCGTCGTTATTGTCCTCTTCCTCGTTCTTGTCCTCGCCGTCGTCGTCGTGGCCGCTGCCGCTGTCTTCGTTGCAGCCGTCGTCGTCTTCGTCGTCGTCGTCGTCGTCTGCCGCTGCCGCCGCCGCCGCTGCCGCCGCCGCCTTCGTCGTCGTCGTCGCCGTCGTCGTCGCCGCCAACGCCGCCGCCGCCGCCTCCGCCAGCCTCTGCCGCCGTCGGCCCCGGCCTCGTCGTCCTCCGCCTGTGGCGCCCGCCGCGCCTTCTGGCGTTTGTGGGCGTCACAAGGCGCGACGACCCCGAGCCCGTGGCGTGGTGCTGGAGGACCGCGGTGGGCCTCCCGGCAGAGGACAGCCGCGGCGCTTGCGGCTGCCCCGCGCGAAAGCCGCCGAAGGCCGCCGAGGGCCGCCGAATGCTTCCGGCGCCCACCGATGGCCGCCGAGCGATCACGCCCGCGCCTCCAGAAGGCGCAGCAGCCGGCCATCAACTGACTGTCGCCGTCCGCGTCGATCTTGGCCTCGTTGTTGTCGTTGTCGTCCCCGTGTCGACCAAGAAACCAGGGGCAACGTTACGGTAGGGGGATTGGCTCAGGGGGAGGTGCATCGACCCCGAAGCGCCCATATATGTAGGGGCCCAGGGGCTTCTCGCCGACCTATCGGCGATGTATCGCCGATTCCACGTCGAGGTTTTGCCCCTTGAGCTGGTCCGCCCCTAACGTTGCCTGCAAGGCTTGGGTCTTTCTCCGAGGTCGTCTCGCGCAACCCTGGCCTCCGAGGTCCCAAAGTCGTACAGTGACGTACCGTGCGGTGAGGTCTCTCGGGATTTGTAATTAGTTATCGTACGGTCTGTCACCGCCCCGTTTTGAGATCCCTGAGCTTGGCGGTCTCCTTGTCGCCGCTGTCGTCGGCGTCGTCCTCGGCCTCGGCGTCGATGTGGTCGCTGTCATCCTCGTGTCGGCGACGACAAGCGGCATAAACATGATCTTTCGAAGGTCCGCACGGATGTCCTGGATCTGCGCTGGACCCCCTTGGCAGCACCTCCATAACTGATTTTGGCGCGCTCTGCGCGCCAGGGAAGGGGGCCCATCGCCAATGCAAGATATCCGCGCGGAAATTTGAAACTTAATGTTTGAGCATCTTCGAAGTGTTCTTACGTTGGATATTTAAGGTGATTGGTTGGTTGTGCTAGGTGTTCGGCTGGTGCAGGGTTGGTGGGCGTCCGTGGGCGCCTCTTGGGCGCCGCGTGCTGGGTGGGTGCGCCGAGGTTTCGCCCGGTGGCCGCCTCGTTGGCGCTTCGTGCGCTAGCAGGGTCTGCCGAGGTTTCGCCTGGTGCCCGCAAGCGTGCGTCTCGTGGGCGTCTCGTGCGCTTGGTGGGTGTGGTTGCGTCTGGTGTCCGCCCGTGTGCGCCTCGCGGGCGCCTCATGGGCGCCTCGTGCACTGGGTGGGTGTGCCGAGGTTTCGCCTCGTGCGCATCTCGAGGGTGCCTCGTGCGCATCTCGTGCGCTGGGTGGGCGTGCGGCGGTTTCTCGTGGTGTTCGGCTGGTGGCCGCCCGTTGGCGCCTCGTGGGCGCTGCGCGCGCTGGACCGCCACATTGATTGCACTACATAGTTGTTGCAACATGGTTTGCACCATACGCCGCATAACTTGCACCGCATTGCGTACACCATACATTCACCACACAGGCTGCACCTCATACATTGCACCGCGCAGCCTACACAGCTTCATCAACGTATCGTGTGCCGCACATGTGTCTATACATATATCACATAAGACATATTTCACTACATATGTTCCACCACAAATGTTACACCACATATGTTACACCACATGGTGTGCACCGAATGGCTTACACTGCATATATTGCACCGCGTAGCCTACACCTCATTGCTTATCCCAGATACCTTACACATCGACCGTGCAATGACTTACTGCTTGAGGTCCACGCTGGGAAACAGTTTCCCAAGCAGTGCTTGCACGAGGGTTTGTGACGCGTTTCGTAAGTAGTCAGGTTGGTGTGCCGAGGTTTGGCCTGGTGTCTTGTTGGTGGCCGCTTCGCGGGCGCCGAGTTGGCGCCTCGAGGGCGCCCCTTGAGCTTGGTGGGTGTACCAAGGTTTCACTTGGCGCCCGCCCGTGGGCCCTTTGCGGGCGCCTCGTGCGCTGGGTGGGCGTGCCGAGGTTTCGCTGCCCCGTGCCCGCTGGTTGGCCGCCCCTGGGCGCCTCGTGGGCGCCTCGTGCGCTGGGTGTGTGTGTGTGTGTGTGTACGCCGAGTTGTCGCCTGGTGCCCGGTTGGTGGCCGCCCGTGGGCGCCGCGTGGGCATCACGTGCGCTGTGGGTGCGCTGGGTTTTTGCCTGGTGCCTGCTTGTTGGCCGCCCTTGAGACCTCATGGGCGCCTCGTGCGCTGGGTGGCCGCATAGCATAGCTTGCGCATCATAGCTCGCAGCGCATTGCTTGCACCACGTAGGTTGCAGCACGTAGCGTGCAGAACATAACTTGTGCCATACAGTTTTACCACACCACCTAGCTTGTACCACACAGCTTGCACCGCACAGCGTGCACTAAATCGGTTGCAACACGTATCTTGCACCTCGTAGTTTTTTCCGCATTCTGCTTACCCTAGATTGTTTGCACCACACAGCTTACACCCCATATCTACAGCACACATCTTACACATAGCTTGCACACCCTACATGTCGCCGTATAGCTGATACCGCATATCTTAATCCTCCTCGCCTTGAGGCCGTACATTGCACCGCATAGCCTACACAATGTCGCGTTCACCACATAGCCTACGCGTCATAGCTTCCACCGCATGGCTTTCGTAGCACATAGCTTATAACGCATCGATTGCACCCCGTAGCCTACACCATTAGAAGGGCCACACTGTGCACTCACATCCACAGGGTGCAATGATTTATTGGGCGGGGTCCATGCTGGCCAAGAGTCGTCTTCTATCGTTGGCGCCGTAGTCGACGTCATCGTCGTCGTCGTCCTCGTCGTCTTCGGCGTCGTCTGCGTCGGAGTCGACACCGACGCCGACATCTCTCTGGGGTCTCTGTCGGGCTCTCGGGGACATCCATTGGTGGAGGGCTACAACTGTTAGTTTGAGTTGCCAGGATTGTCTCCTCTTGGGGCCTTAGCGAGGGCCTCTTTGGCCCCTCTTGGGGGCTCTTGAGTCGTGCTTGGGAGAGATTGGAGGCTTCTTGGGCCGTCGTGGAGGCTCTCAAGACAGAAAGTGCGAAGGTGCACACATGCTTCTAACCACTTCATGGGATTTGTCAACTTTGGCCTGTTGCGCCAGCCTGAGGGCTTCCAAGCTGCTTCCAGAGGCCCCAGGAGGTCTCCAGGATAGGCCGCAGGGACCTTTCTAGGGCAAGCTGAGTTCGACCCAGGCCGAGTGCAGACTTGCCGAGTTCAGGTGGCCGAGCTCTGCCTGGCAGAGTTTCGCCTGGTCGAGTCTTCACCGTGTCTTCCGCACCCCTTCCTCGGTTCCCCTCTCTCTGGTTGAAGAAAACACTTTGCATCAACAACGACCGAACAAGGAAGAACCACATTCCCTCCTCCAAGCCCCCTCGCCTTACCATCGGCAAGTTTTGTGTCCGAGGTGTCGTGCTGAAGATTTGTTGGACCTCGCTTCTCCGGGAATGCTACGCTGGTTCAATATCGGGGCTCAAGTGACGGGGGTCAACCCAAGTGGGGGTCAGCCAGGGCCCCGGATCTTGCAGAATCCTGCAGAGTCAGTGTTGTTGAGACCTGGGCTAGGGCGCAGGATCCCGCAGTATTCCGCAGCACCTTGCAGGATCTTGCAAAGTCCGATTGGCCCAGGGTTGCTCTGACCGGGGCCAGTGCGTCCCCGACAACGTTCAGGCCGTGGGGCGGGGGGGTCATTGGAAGTGGTTCTTCAACCTTGGTTGGTTGCACGGTCGTTTCTTTCAACGGTCCTTGCCTCTTCGGGCCCCCCCGCCCCCGCGAGGAGCAGCTCGAGGAGGGCGTGGCGGCCCCAGAGGGTGCCGGCCGGTCCCCGACGCGGCGCGCGGTCTCCCCGGGCCTGGCCCGCCACAGGGCCCCCAGGCAGCTGGTATCTCGAGAATGGTGGAGACGGAGGTTCTTCGCAGTTTTCGGCCTCTCGTGGACATCAAACCGGCGTCGAGACGTCAAACGGCCCGCGATGAAGAACCGGTCCAGGGGAAGTGGTCGAGAGGTCGGGGCGCCGCGTGTCGAAAACACATTGAGACCAGATGTGTAGGTCCCCCCGCCAGGCCCGCCCGTGAGGGCCCACCTGCCCGACCCATCCCGCCCGTGCGGGTCGTGATCCTGGTCGATCGGGCCCCGCGCTTTCGTGTCTCGCCGAGCTCCGCCCGTGAGGGTCCGCCCCTCCGACGCGCCCGGCCCGGCCGCCGGGGTCCGCCCGCTCGACCCGCCCGTTAGGGTCCACCCGCCGTTCCCGACCCGCGCGTCCGGTATATCATCCGACTTCGTTGAGAGGACAGCAACTTCTGCGCATGGTCGCCGTCAGCTTCCGCAAGGTGCACACGCGGGCTGCCGTGGGCGGACGTGGCGGACGATGGTGAGCTCAAGTGGGCGGTCTTGGCGAAAGGCAAGGACGCGAGGTTATCCCACCGCAGATATTGGATCGAACACATGTTGGGTGCAACGGCAAAGTCGGACTTCAACTGATTCCGAATTATGTGCAAGGCGAGGGTGAGTTCTGTGACGCGTTGCAGCGATGTTCTTTGTCGTTCCTCTCCCCAGTGACTGTGATACCCGCGGTAGGATTCAGAGCGTGACTTACCTACCCTGCTTTCGCTTCCAGGCAAAACCAAGTCATACCACGCGCCTCGTCAAGCGGCCTGACCAGTACAGGCCGTAGCTTGGCATCGCTTGGTATCTCTGGGAAGCAAGGGTGGTCAAAAGCGAGGTAGGTTTGTTTGCCCCGCTAATGAGGGCCACCCCCGCAGACACCGCTTCGAGTCAAGTCTAGGTCAGCTTCCGCCCGCCTGCGTTTCAACGTTGTCACTCGTGCAAGTGTGATCGCGGATGGCGTACATGTGCACATTCGTGGGCGAAAGACATCTCCGTATCCGAGGTCTCGTGGGCTGGCACCTGGGCCGCGACCCCACGGACTTTTGGCGTCCTTTCGCGGATGCCCCGCGCGTGATGTAGCCGTGTGTCCGCGTTTCCGCGGGATCTCGCGCCAGAATCCAGACCGCGAGAGCGCGGATATGGATGCGTTCGCCGATCGCGGATGGTCTACATGTGCAAGTTGGTCGTTCCAGAAAGGGCCGCGCTTCTGAGAATCGAAGAATTTGCCATCTCTTATTCGGTGGAAGGGCGGCGGAATTAACATGGTTCAGGGTTCCCAG